GGTTTCAGTAACTAATGCTAAGGACTGATAGCACTGGCCTATCTAGAGCTAGGAATGATGTTGCTAGGCATTTTTCAGTGGTCTGTGTACGACACTGCCAGTGCACCTATGACCTCAGAGCTTTATTTTTTTTTCTTTTTGAGGGGCGGAGGAAGTGTATAATCTTGCAAAATGGAGAGAGTAGCAATAATTCCTAGGGAAGGGGGGGGCAGGATTTTTCTTTGTGCTATTATGCCCTGATCATTCTCCAGTCTAGCTTTTGTTCACTGAGGGAGGGACTCTTGGGCATTGCAAATCCTTCACCTCCATGCCAGACTGCTTTGTTCCTCTTCCTGGTAATAATGAGCTGTTTCTTTTTTCTCTCTAGCAATGCTGTCTCTGTTCTGTGCAATAGCAGCTCTAGAGGGAGCAGTTCAGTACTGGCCCTAGTGGGTGGTGCAAAAGGCCCAAAATTCCCTATACGGCCCAATAATACCCTTTGATGGGAGATGGGAAACTGGGCGTCGGGAGGAAGAGGGAGAGGAATAATTTTGGACAGCTGACAAGCCACTTGGACCTGTAGAGTTGAGCAGGGGGACTGAAATTCCCTCAACTTGGTACACTTTCTTCCCACCCCATGAACCACCCACAATGGTTATGCTGAGAAGGGGGATGTGGTGTTTCATCATACTACTTGTCTGCCCTGCAAAATAGTTTCCTGCTGCATGGAACTATCAAGGATAATGGGTGGATGGGCTGAATAGTGTGTAAAGACATTACACGGTGTAGAGCATAGATATATCTCAGACCTTCTGAGTGTCAAAAGGCCCCTTTTCTCAGTGGGTCTGGTAGAGTCACAATAGGCAGAGGCCTGTGAAAACTTAAGGTATACGATCATGGTAGTGCCTCCCGTATCCCTGCCATGCTGCCATGGGAGAAAACTGCAGAGAGGAGCCAGCCAGAGACGCCAGCTGGTAGGAGCAGAAACGGTCAAGGCAGGGACCTCTGGCCATTCCGAGACTATTCTCAGTCCCACTGAGCCCTCCCTTCAGTTTCCAACTAGCCTCTCCCCTCCTAAGTAAACAAACAAACAAAAAAAATTGTAGACTAATATGCTGTTTGCTGCCATCATTTTATTTAATCTGCTTGTGTGTTAGACCCCTTCCCTCATTCTGTGCCTCTCCTGTTTATTTAGAATAGATTGATAGCTCTTTAGGGGGGGACCATCTCTACTAGTCTTTGTCTGTACAGTGCCTAGCAGAGTAGGCCCCCATTCTTAGTTGGCCCTTAGGCACTAGTGTAATAAACATGAGTAATAATTAAATTAGTTAATTTAAAATCCTGGACATGCAGGTCCAATTTGGTTATGGCTATCATCCCAAACTCTACAGCAGTGGTTCCCAAACTTGTTCCGCTGCTTGTGCAGGGAAAGCCCCGGGCGGGTTGGGCTGGTTTGTTTACCTGCTGCGTCACAGGTTCGGCTGATCGCGGCTCCCAGTGGCCGCGGTTCGCTGCTTCAGGCCCATGGGAGCTGCTGGAAGCGACGCGGGCCGAGGGACGTACTGGCCACCGCTTCCAGCAGCTCCCATTGGCCTGGAGCAGCGAACCGCGGCCACTGGGAGCCACGATCGGCCGAACCTGTGGACATGGCAGGTAAACAAACTGGCCTGGCCCGCCAGGGGCTTTCCCTGCACAAGCGGCAGGGAACCACTGCTCTACAGCATGTTTGTGATGTCAACTAACATTTATGATAGTTATGTTATATGATGATTGCAAAAACGTAGCTTTAGAACATACGCTTTTTACTTGCAACTTAAGCCAGTGTCAAAAGCTGGTCTCCAAAGGTGAAGACTAGTGCGTGAAGTCTCAACCTAGCAAAGTACTTAGTTTTAAGCATGAAGCAATCCTGATGACCTCAAAGTTAGCCACATGGTTAAGTACTTTGCTGGAGCAGGACCTAACTCCCTGATTTGTTTTTGTCATAAACGCTATGTTTCTCAAAACAAAGCAAACTCTAGTATTTTTTTTTAAGTCAAAAGTACAAAAAAGTCAGTATTTTTCATTGTTCACCTTGTGCCACCTTTCTGCTTTTCTCGCTTCTGAATGTTTGATTCTTCATTGCAATTTACATATTTTTCTTTTAAAAAAAATATTTTGTGTCTGTAATGTAACATAAGTGGTTGCAGGATTTACTTTCTTAAGGTCATATAGATAGTTTTTATTTTACTCTTAAAGGACATACCTTTAAAACAAAACAACCACAAAAAACCTCCAAAAAAACCCACCAAACAAAAAACAACCCTGCCCCAAACCAATTTAATTCAATTTTCCTGAATAAGTTTTTCTTTTCTTTTCTTAATGTACTGAATAAGCTTTGTTGCCTTTGCCTATTGTGGGCTCCCTCTGATGTTGCTGAGCAGACCAGATACAGTACCTTGCAATCTTTGTTAAGAAATCTATAGAAAAATAGATGGCCTGTTTTGTAATTTGTTTGATCCTCCAAAAAAAAAAAAAAAGTCATGCTTATGTAACCAGGAATTTAATACAGTAAACGGAAGGAAAATGTATGACAAGTAGCTTAAAAGCTTGGAAAGGGATTACAGTTGTTTTTAACACTTGATGGGTAAGTGTGATTTACTATTCTGTATCTGAACTCTCATAGCTAATAACTTAGTTGCATGACAATTACCAGAAGCAATCTCTTGCAGAAACTCTGCAAATCTCTTTGGTAAATTTGCTTTATTAATTGCTGTGGCTTTGATTTTCTCATGATGTTAGTGTGTTGACATACAGTACTAAATATCTAAATATCTACTAAAAATGGTATGTTAGAAAATTTTAATATGGGATACATTGGTTAAAAAAACTCTTCAAAAGCCACAATCCCATTATTAGATGTTGAAGGCTTTTGCTAATTCTCTGTTTTGCTACTGAACTTCAGACAATTTTTTCCTCGTACCTTAAACCAACAAAATAGGGTGAACAGATAATGGTTTGACGATTTTCTCTCCCTAAAACAATATTCTATTTATAAACTAAAATTGTTCTTTTCTACATCTGTAACAGCTAGCCGATGGCGGAGCCTCTTCTCTACACCTGTTTCCTTGGCCTTTCCCTATAGTCCTGTTGCAAGACTCACCCCATATAGCAATGGCTTTAATACTCCCAGCTTCTCTAAAACCTCCAATAAAGCAATACTAACACCTGAAAGACCAGGTAATCCTTAAATTTTTAGTGATTTATGATGCTTACAAAATTGCTTTACTAAATCTTATCTTGCTGTACTTTAACTGCAATACATTGTACCTGCCTAGGATGTATAAACTATTAGCTTACTGGTGAGATTTCAAGAATTTTAGGCCTATCATTTAATTTAATTATAAAATGATCATGTAGTGGAGTTCATCCTTTATTTTACACAATGAGGTGGCTTTCCTCATCATAAGCAGAGTTTCACTATAACTAGCAAAGATTTACCTGACCAAAAAATTTGTCCCCGCTTGTCGCCCCCTTGAAAGGGGCATGGATAATTGTGGGTGGCTGGGGAAGAGGAGCTTGGGAAGGACATAATTGCATTTCCAAGTGGCCAAAGGAGCAAGTAGCAAAAAGATAGTGTTGTTCCTTTTTCAGTGCAGGGATCAGGAGTTCTTCCTCTGCTAAACTGCAGTGGGGGTGGAGGAGATAATCCCCTTGGAATGAGAAATTTCACGTTACTGGTAGGTGGTGACAGCTGCAGTCCAAGGGGATTAGCACCAGAAGGGCATGTTGATCTGCACTGGCTCCTTTTCCCTAATATCCCCCAAATCAGGGTCCAGCTAGTGCAGAGACAAGATGTGGGGCTTGGTCATTGTCACAAGGAGACTGAGGAGCAGTAGTTCTTTACACTGAATGGAAACATGATGCATTCCAGAGACTGATCTCCTACTCTTGCTCTTCATGACTGGGCACTGGAGAACCACGAATGGGCCCTAGAAAGATAACTGACACCTGTGGTTACACAAAGACAGACAGTAGCCCCTCCTGTTGCTGTGCAGTTGTAGGCAGATGTCCTGTGGGTGGCTAAGGCACCCGTTCATGCAGAGAGAATTGATTCAGGCACCTCCTTTGCTGCTTCAGCTGTAGTAGGCTCCCCTCTGGCCCTACTACCGTCTAATCTGCTACTGTAAGCTCTTTGGGTTTTTTCCGCCTCTGACCTTCATAGTCCATGTAATAGTTTCCTCTGAGGAAACTAGTCAAGAAAATGTGTAAGTTTAAATTCTAATTTTGGGAATCTGGAACAAGCGAAGCTAGTTTGAGGCTGAGAACATAGTGGTGATGGTTGACTATTGTTGTTACACAGTGGCAAATAAACTAGCTTTCCCCCACAAAATTCATTATGACCTGTAAGCTTTAGACCCCCCTCACAAACTCCAGCCAGACTGCACGTGGAAGCATTGAGTATACCCCAGCCACACCATAGAATCCAGAAGAAATAGAATCCAGCTTCCTTTCCCGTTGTGTGGTGTTTGTGGAAGGGAGTGTTGTCCTATGTATTTTTACAGTGCACTATGGGTCCCCAGTTGTTGTTGTCTTTTGGTGCTACTGTAATTATAAATAATTTAAAAAACAATAAAATTTAAGTACATGAATATGACTTGGAATCCATACACGGAGCTAATCTGTTGAAGCTGGTGATATATTTACACGGTTACTTTTCAGAGTAGAACTACACTTTAAATAAGAAGGGCTCAAATGTTTGAAATGTTTGGGGATGAAAGCTAGCCCAGTCAATCAAACTGTGTTGGATTAATTGTTTGTTGTCTTGGCTGTACCTAATTTGGGAACAAATGGGGATTTGCACTCCAGGATTGTAGCTTCACCTTTTCAAGAGCACTAAATTAACTAGCAAAATGTTAGTAGAAAGTTTTTTATAGTAAATTTCCATAAGGTTTCAATCTGTACAAAAATATTTGGAATGCAGACCCTTTGTGACATAGATAATGTACATATTTACTGACTAAAGAATCTATTTTATTGTATAGGCTACATTTCCAGAAGTTCTCCTCTCAGCCCCCAGTCATCAATAGACAGTGAACTGAGCACCTCCGAACTGGAGGATGATTCCATCTCCATGGGATATAAACTACAGGACCTCACTGATGTTCAGATCATGGCTCGACTGCAGGAAGAGAGTATGTGGCTTTTTTCTTAATTTTTTTTTTTTTTTAATTTCAGTCATAGAATTTTCTCAAGCGAATTTACCATTTGAGTTGAAACTTTTCATGCTTGGTCTCTGCCAAGTGTAAATTTAATAAAAATGTCTTATCTGAATGGCAGGAAGAGAAGTGCTTTTCACCTGTGAGGAAATGGTTTGAATTTGTTGTTGTGCTTGGATAACTGGAAATGAATCTTTTAGAACTTCAAACATGATCTGTATGTGTTGAGTGGAGGCTGTCACCTTTGCCTCATTGGAAGAAACTTGAATGTAGGTGTTTTACAGTCTCTTTTTGTTAATGCAGCACAGTGATGAGGTTTTTATGACGGGGGGAGTTGAGGGAGGACTAAATCATCCCCCCCATGCACAAAATCTGTGGAAAGGGGGAAAATACACTTCATGGATTTTTGGTTACCTTGTAAGGTTCTGAAATAAATTCTCCCCTGACCCTAATGTTTGAGGTATTCAGGAGCTGAAGTTTTGGGTTGCATGCACTGTGGGATTTATGCACGAGCCCCAGAGAACAGCATGGTAGTTTTAGTAGGGTTACCATATTTTGAGTGTCCAAAAGGAGGACACTCCACGGGGCCCCGGCCCCGCCACCAGCCCCGCCCCCGCCCCAACTCTACCCCTTCCCCAAAGTCCCCGCCCCACCTCCGCCCCCTCCCCTGCTTCCCGCAAACATTTGATTCGCGGGAAGCCTGAAGCAGGAAGCAGGTAAGCTGGGGGGGTGGGGGGAGGAGGCGCGGCTCAGTCTGGCCCCGTCCGGCGGCCGGCCCCGGCGTCTCTAGCCTGGCTCGGCTCGGGCCCTGGGGTGCCGGCCCCCGGCCGAGCACCCCCGGGCCAGCACCGCCGGCCCCTGGCCCGGCCGCCCAGCACCGCCGGCCCCCGGCCCTGCCGGCCAGCACCCCCGGCCCCCGGGCCAGCCCCCGGCCCGGCTCCGGATTTTCCCGGACATGTTCGGCTTTTTGGGATTTCCCCCCGGACGGGGATTTGAGTCCCAAAAAGCCGGACATGTCCGGGAAAATCCGGACGTATGGTAACCCTAGTTTTAGGCCACAGGTTGAATTATTGGCAGTTTGGAAAATATGTATCTTTTTAGTCACAAATAATAATAAATTGTACATGAAAATCATTGAGAGATAATAAATATAGCATTGCACCACCCCCTTCTTTGTGTCAGTCAAGCTAGGTAGATGAGAGAAAGGGAGATAGAAACAGTAAAAGGTAATGAGAGAAAAAAGGAGACCATAATATAGGGAAGAGGTGTGTTGAAAGCCAGATGGGAGTAATGGTGAAGAATGGCTAAATGAGAACATACATGTAACGCAGACGACAACACTCAATTAAATCTGGCTGGAGCAATCAGACTAAACAGGCAAGAGCAATCAGAGTGGTGAAAATAGGAGAACACAATCACACCTCCAAAATCAGGCCACAGGTAAATATACTGGAAAAGGGAAGACTATATTTTCCCTCTAATTCAATTTTAATTATCGTAAGTGTTAGTTGTAACAACAGTAGGTACAAAATTTTCCAAACAAATATGATTTTTATATTGATGGCTGTTCCTTTAATCATTTGGAAACAGGAGATGCTATGCGCATGCACAAACACACACACTCACTTCGTCACGCTCTCTTTCACATTCATTTACAGAGCTCCCATTTGAGGAAGAATGCTCAAGATGTTATGATAGCAAAGTCATATGTCAAATCTGAGAGCTCTTCATAAATCTAGGGAAAAGTACTTTTCAAATTCCGAATGATCTAAGGAACATTTACATCCAGTCATTCTCAGAACTTCTTGACTCCCAAAATTGTGTTATGATACGTTCTCTACAGCAGGGGTTCTCAACCTGACACTTTCAGAAAAGTGTCAAGGGCTCACAACCACTTTATCCTACACATAATGTGAAGAGCTTCCTGGCATGAGTCATGGTATGGAAAAGTTCAAGAACCACTTGCTCCAGAGTACTCATTTGGTTACAGATTTAGGAAATATTATTGTTCTGCCTGTTAACAATGTTGCTACGCTATCTTAACAGCTTAATGATAACTATTTAAAACATTAAGGACCAGCTCTTCAGCTGGTGGAAAGTGGTAGCCCCATTCATTACCTTGAATGAAGTGGTGCCAGTTTACACTAGCTGAGGCTCTGCCCTAAGTATAGTTCAGTTACAAGTATTGATCGTCTAGTTAAAAAACAAATATCATTTTCTTAAAATTTACAGGTCTTAGACAAGATTATGCTTCTACTTCAGCATCTGTATCAAGACACAGCTCAAGTATCTCTCTACATTCAGGAAAGAAAGGGACGTGCAGTGATCAGGAATATGATCGCTATAGTCTTGAGGATGAAGAAGAGTTTGATCACCTGCCACCTCCACAGCCCCGACTTACTCGCTGTTCACCATTCCAAAGAGGAATTCCACACTCTCAAACTTTTTCCAGTATTCGGGAGTGCAGGAGAAGCCCCACTTCACAGTATTTCCCTCCAAATAATTATCAGCAGCAGTATTATTCTCCTCAAGCCCAAACGCCAGAGCAGCAGCCAAATAGGATTAGTGGAGGTAGGTTACATGCCTTTCTGATTAGTGTTTTTTTTCTTTGTCCTTCTGTGCTTTTACAAAATTGTCAATACTATTTTAAAGGTCAGATTAAATAAACCAGTGAAATGTGTCTGAATTGCAGCAGTGAAATCTGTCAGTGAATTATTGTGATATGATATTTGATCTTTGTGGACAGAAATTTAAATCTTTTAAAATCATTGTGACTTTGAATCATTTTAGGTAGATTATTGTTAAATAACTTGATGTAGAGTCTGGTTCCTGAACAGGTTGTGAAAGTGGTTGTTGTCTAAAACAGTTTTAAAATGCTGCAAGTATAGGCACAAGGGAAGAGGCTGGGAGAGATTTTTATGTTCCCACTTGATTTGATTTCTTTCTCTAGTTCTATTACTCACTTTCCTTACCTCCTGACTCTGCCTAAAATGAGAGACACTATTATTGCTGTCATTCAGAATTGCATAGTGTTATCATAAGACCCCTCTGTTCAGCCCTCTGCTCTTCACTCTGAATTTCAGGCATGCTGGGGAGCATTGATAAAACAGGTAGGTAAGTGGTGCTCATTACTCCCAGACTGCCAGCAGCCATCACTGTTTTTGTACCATGCCTAAGGCTGATGTCCTCCAGAATCTCTGAAAGAGACTTTTCTGGGGCTGCTGCGGTATTAAGTTTTGAAACTTTGAAGTGTTGTTCCTTCTCCCCTTTCTTTCCATCATTATCATGGTGCTGTTGCATCTCCTCCACCCCGCTTCAAGATAATCAGTGTCCAGTTTCCAGTCAGGATCTTATTTGTAACATCCCAGATTATTTCCCTCCCTTGGGTAAGAAAACAGACATTGTGTCCAAAACAGTTAGTTATTTAGAGTGCCACAGGTACACACGTTACTTTACTGACAAATAGTACATGACAGGTCTCTGCCAAAAGCACTTTACGTTTAAGTTGGACATGGCACAGGAAGGAGAACAGGTAAGTGTGGAGAGTGTAAGGGAAGGATGAGGTTACAACACTATTAAATGGTGTGTTTGCTTGTTTGTGCAGCATAACACATCATGTTAATTTTAATTTTATTATTTTTGACAATTAAGGGCTTGCAGGAGTAGGAGTCAGCATTGAAAGGCTAACAGAAAAGGGTGACGGAGATGGAGAGGAAGAGTGTATGGAATCAGTGATGAATGTGCATGGGATGTAGTGCTATGCATATTGAATATGTATGCTCACCAGATCCCTTGGCAATGTCTGTTTCATGTTCCATGCCAAGGTTAAGGACGTCTCATAAACCACTTACTCTTGAGACACTATGGCAAAGTCTCCTCTATGCCTTCCAGCTAATAAGTGAAAAGTCACTTGGCAGATGCCAGCACTACCACCTGGGTGGCCTTCCTGTCCAAGAGTGTTGATGTGTTGCATGATCTACCAGGTGTCACTCTGTAGATAAGATACAGCTTCAATCAGCTGTATAAGGCTTTACTGTCTCATAGAGCCGCAGATCTGTTGCAGCCTGTGTAGTGTGGAATTCTAACTCCTGTTTCAGCTGGTATATCCTTCATCATATGACTCTTAGGCAATTATAGTCCAGATAAATTGAATAAATATCTGTACTGAGAGGCTCTTACCTTTTGGTTGTTTTCTGTTAAGAGGCAAGGGATAATGTTACTTGCCTTCCTTTGTAAATTGATTTGAAATATAGAGCTGAAAAGCAATATATAAGAGTTTAGTAGTGTTATGGCCACAGATTTCTGTCAGCATTTCTCAAAATTCTGGCCACGATTTCATTCTCTTACCAGAACTCCAAGTCTTCAAAATTCAAGTAGTGGGCCAAATAAGTGTTTGTCAGGGTCAAACCAGTGTCAAACACAGTATGTGGCTTGTTGGTGCTGTTACTGGATGCCAGGAACATTGGGGAGAGTGCGATGTAAGTGAGGCAGGAGCTGGTAAACCAGCTACATGTCACTTGGGAATGTGGCAGATCCAGTGCTGCACATAATTTATCAAAACCAAATAAGCAGTGTGCCATGTTGCGGCAGGTCAGCAAAGTTGCCTTCCCTCCCCTTGGCCAAAGCAGATCGGTTGGTGCTCTTGCACATGAAGTCAGTAGATTGGCTACTAGTTTACATGACTAGCAGCTGAGATGACTAGCAAAGGAACACTGCAGTGCTGCCCACAGAACGTGGAACTGCTTTAAGACTGCATTTCTCGAGAATTACCTGTAATTTGGCACTTTCCGTTTGGGCGTGTACATGCTATTGTGGCTTAGAAGTCCTAGCCTGCTACATAAGGAAGGCAGTAAATCAACCAACAGCATTATATTCAATTTGACATTCAGCAAGAGAACTCTGGGGTGACTGATGGCATTTAGCCTCCAATCCAGTGTTTCACCAGGAGTTGGCTGGGTCTTCAGCATGATTGTGATCTTTAGCATTTGCTAGAGGAGACTGATGGTGATGACAAGCAGAGATGATGCTGCCCTACCTGAAGATCAGATTTTTTGAAAAAGAATATAGTATCCAGACTGAAATATCTGGTCTGACTTTAGATCTTTACTTTTGCAAAAATCAATGAATTAGTGTTGGAATTTTTGCCAACAGCACAAAAAGAAACACAGGAACCTCCGCCTTCACTGCCTGCTGCCCTCTTTACTTGCACAAACATGAGGATGCTCTGTGTGGAAACATAAATCTTTGACTCTGTGAAAGGATTGTACTTCTGGAAAATTGAATTAGAATTCTGCTTTATGTGAGAACCCATCCTCAAGTGTGGCCTTGGTATATCTGATCCAATGTGGGGGAGGGGAGGTTCAGACAGCTGGGGAGCTAGAGGATCTGTTGTGACTTCTGGAACAAACTTTCAGAGCAAACCCGCATAATTTTGGGGGGGAAATGCTTCCCTTTGTGACAAAACATTCCCAGGTAGAAATGTGTATCATGAAACCAAACTAGTTTCTTTCAAATCAGTTAAGTTTAATGTAACTTTCTTGAGACATTTTTGTTTTTCAGTGAAACTGCCCCCTTCCTCTTTATAATTAATACATTTTGATCTGCTAATGTATCATTTAAAGGCCTAGGAATTGGGAGACATGGAGGAGTAAAGGACTACTCCTCAGTGTCTATTTTAATTACTGCAATCATTGCTGCTAAGCAGATACTTAGGGTATGTCTACACTACGTGATTACTCCGATTTTACAGAATTCGATTTTTGGAAACAGATTGTATAAAGTCGAGTGCATGCGGCCACACTAAGCACATTACTTCAGCAGTGTGCATCCATGTACCGAGGCTAGCGTCGACTTCTGGAGTGTTGCACTGTGGGTAGTTATCCCATAGTTCCCACAGTCTCCCCTGCCCATTGGAATTCTGGGTTGAGATCCCAATGCCTGATGGGGCAAAAAACATTGTTGCGGGTGGTTCTGGGTACATGTCGTAAGGCCCCCTCTCCCTTCCACCCTCCCTCCCTCCGTGAAAGCAATGGCAGACAACCGTTTCGCACCTTTTTTCCTGGGTGAACTGTGCAGACGCCATACCACAGCAAGCATGGAGCCCGCTCAGCTCAAGACAGCAGTCATGAACATTGTAAACACCTCGCGCATTATTGTGCAGTTTATGCTGAACCAGAACCTGAAAAACCAGGCGAGGAGGAGGCGGCGACGGCAGCACGGCAACGAGAGTGATGAGGACATGGACACAGAATTCTCTCAAACCGCGGGCCCCGGCGCTTTGGAGATCATGGTGTTACTGGGGCAGGTTCTAGCCATGGAACGCCGATTCTGGGTCCGGGAAACAAGCACAGACTGGTGGGACCACATAGTGTTGCAGGTGTGGGACAATTCCCAGTGGCTGCAAAACTTTCACATGCGTAAGGGCACTTTCATGGAATTTTGTGACTTGCTTTCCCCTGCCCTGAAGCACCAGAATACCAAGATGAGAGCAGCCTTCACAGTTGAGAAGCGAGTGGTGATAGCCCTGTGGAAGCTTGCAATACCAGACAGCTACCGGTCAGTCGGGAATCAATTTGGAGTGGGCAAATCTACTGTGGGGGCTGCTGTGATGCAGGTAGCCAAAGCAATCACTGAGCTGCTGCTACCAAAGGTAGTGACTCTGGGAAATGTGCAAGTCATAGTAGATGGCTTTGCTGCAATGGGATTCCCTAACTGTGGTAGAACGATAGATGGAACCCATATCCCTATCTTGGCACTGGAGCACCAGGGCAGCCAGTACATAAACCGCAAGGGGTACTTTTCAATGGTGCTGCAAGCACTGGTAGATCACAAGGGACGTTTCACCAACATCATCGTGGGATGGCCGGGAAGGGTTCATGATGCTCGCGTCTTCAGGAACACTAGTCTGTTTAAACGGCTGTAGCAAGGGATTTACTTCCCAGACCAGAAAATAACCGTTGGGGATGTTGACATGCCTATAGTTATCCTTGGGGACCCAGCCTACCCCTTAATGCCATGGTTCATGAAGCCATACACAGGCAGCCTGGACAGTAGTCAGGACCTGTTCAACTACAGGCTGAGCAAGTGCAGAATGGTGGTAGAATGTGCATTTGGACATTTAAAGGGTCGCTGGCGCACGTTACTGACTCACTCAGACCTCAGCCAAACCAATATTCCCATTGTTATTTGCTGCTTGCTGTGTGCTCCACAATCTCTGTGAGAGTAAGGGGGAGACCTTTATGGCGGGGTGAGAGGTTCAGGCAAATCGCCTGGCTGCTGATTACGTGCAGCCAGACACCAGGGTGATTAGAAGAGCACACCGGGAAGCGCTGCGCATCAGAGAAGCTTTGAAAACCAGTTTAATGACTGGCCAGGCTACGGTGTGAAAGTTCTGTTTGTTTCTCCTTGATGAAAACCCGCCCTCTTGATTGACTCATTCCCTGTAAGCAACCCACCCTCCCCGCTTCCATCACAGCTTGCTTTAAAAGGAAATAAAGTCACTATCGTTTAAAAATCATGTATTCTTTATTAATTGATTATAAAAAGAGGGAGAGAACTGACAAGGTAGCCCG